TGTAGCCTAAAATACTTTCTCGTCCAGCCAACACAGTCAATATCTTCCTCCAAAGCGATACGCAGTAATGCTGCTCAGATACGTGCATTTTGCACAGCGTTTAGCGGGTAAGTGAAAGAACGAAAAAGCGACTGGTCAAAATTCGTAACAGTCATATAGCTGCAGTGATCTGAACATATACAAAGCCGACATTTAAATAAGCAGAAAAATTGGTTTTTTTTTTTTAATAGATCAAAGTGACTCAAACTGAAAGATGGAAGCCAAAAGAAGTGTCAGAAAAGCCGCGCAATCGCATATTGTAAGGTTACACCAAGTAAAGTGTCGCAACGTAGAGGAATAAATAAAGCTAAAATCAAAAAAAAAACAATAAACTTTAAAAAGAAAAGTAGGTAAATAACATGCAACAACAAAAAACTTAAGCTTACCTTGTAGAGAGCAATATTCTAAAACTGCTTAACTTGAAGGCATAAAAGCTTTTATTGAAACATATTTCTAAAAATAATGTTTAACATCTCAACAATAAGTCAAACCTCGCAAAAGATTTTTACCTTTAAATATAAATACTTAAAAGATTTTTTTGCCAAATTCAAAAAAATGGTCAAGAAAGTAATTGGAAAATAAGCTGTACAAAACATAAAAACTAAAGCGGAATACACAAATGCAAAGTTTTCAAACTACACCTCTGATAACCCATGCGATATTATTCAGCGTTTATGCGCAGCAAAATAATTTTTTGCATCTGGTCTGTAAAAAATTGGTTTTTGAAAAAGAATTTAAATTAAAACCAAAAGAAAATAGAAATTCTTTTTTAACGGAACAAATAACAGAACAAATCGTGCTTTTAATTCAAAACCGGAATAATAAGACAGAAACACAATGTGAAAAAAAATAAATTTGAACCAGCTAAAAAGCTAAATTCAAAAGTGGTCAATCGTTGTAGTTGGTTTTTTCAAAAGCAAAGTGAAAGCCATGAAAGCACGTCTTATACTTTTCCGTGCAGCTTGCTTAAAAAAGTATAACTGCACCTCAGTAGTCTTGAACAGACCTGTAAGTTCTAAACTCTTTTGCCTGTTCTGGTGAATAAAACTGCTGCACTGCAGGCAGCAACAGGTAAGTTTTAAAGTTAATGAATACATTAAGAGACATAATATCTCTATTTCACCTGTCTAAGTGTAAAAGAAAAATTTTGAAATTAGATAAATTGGATAAAGAAATTAGTAGTTTAGTAAAAGAATTTGAAATCTTAACGAATCAAAATGTTGCTTTAGCTGATATGCTGTACGTTATTGACGCCGACGTTCAGATGTCCCTCTCAGAGGAAGAATTTACTGGTCGCGGTGGGAAACGACGGTCTCTATTGCAATTCTTAAAATAATGCGTCTTAACTGTGGAACAAGAGAAGAAAGCCAGCCAAGAAATAGACAGTTAGTAAAAGCTTATTTCAGGTAAGATGCATTACCGATTGAACTTTGAGCAACCAGAAGCTAAAACTCACTTATACTGAAACGAACATTGCTTTATCTGGGTAAGAAAAGAAACAGTTGTGCAGTTTGTTTCTCGTCTAGTAAACCTTTGAAAAGAGAGGCTGAGTTTATTGAAACTATGCTTACATATAAAGAAATTAGTCCTTGAAAGCAGAAGAATTGAATTATAACTTTTCAATAAACTGTTTTTAGTGTTCCAATCTCAATTAATCTGATCTTCTTTGACGATGAAAAATTTTGGTTTGCCTTATCCGGTCCAAATATGTTCCCTCGTGAAAATCGTTAAGAAAAATATCGAAATTTCGGTTTGGTTTGAGTCCAAAAAATTTCTGTCGTGAAAAAGTCGCGGAACTTTTATAGTTACCTATTCTTCTTGAATCTTATTTAAAAGATTGCTATTTTTGCTCGACTTTTGGGCATCTTACAGCCCCTCTTTTTTTCCATACCTGACTTTTTCTTTTTTTCTAGCTAAGACAGTGGTCAAATGAAATACTTTATCTGATAGCCAAGGAAATGGCTGGAAAAGCTAAATTGAGAAGATTGCTGAAGACTGTAGTTGTATCTACCAGGTGACAAAAGAAGGACTTGTTGTTTATGAACAGTCGCTTTAGATTTTGTTGTTTGTAACGTGCAGAAATAATACTTGCTATTTTTTAGAAATTTTATATTGAATTGGCATAAACTAGATATAATGCTCGTTTTTTAAGTTGTACATTGCTGCTGAAAAGGTTTAGCACTGCAGATTCTGGTTAAACAGAACCTCAGCATTACAATGCCTACTTCGTGAAATTTTAGAAGCTAAAAACCGGAAATTTTTTGGCGAAACCGCAAAACTTTATGTGAACCTAACTTGGTAAGACCATTTCCTATCGACGTGTAGTTTAAAATACTGTTCACATCATTTACTGCTTCTCATAGTTTTGACTGTTCAATGTATCAGTCGAATGCGCTAGTTCTCTGTAGCTCTAACATACTAGAGAAACCATTCCAATCAACTCGCTTTATTTGAAGCATAATTATATTGATGTTCAAATTATTTTTTTCTAAGATATGATTCGGTTGAATTTAAACGTATGAACTATAAAAGTAACGCAGCAGACTAAAGTTTTTTAAATTCTTTTTTTAGGCTTTAAACTAGTTAATTTTTGAAAATTTAAAAAAACTTGATAAATCTGATTGAAAACTTTTGTGTCAACGTAACTTTTTTTAAACAGTAAAAGTTCTGACTAAGATATGTTCACTTTTTTCCTTGCTACACATTACCGTCACTACAGCTTACTTTTTAGCAGTTTCCTGTATATCGGATAGTACCGCAAGTTTGACATTAAGGTCTTTGTGAGACAGAGGAAAAATGGTAGCAACGAAAAAATCAGAAAAATGGTCACGAAAAGGTACGATAAATGTCATAATTGTAGTACTAATGTTTCCTTTAACTAAACAAAAGAAATTTTACTAGAAGGACGGTTGGCTTTGGTAATGGAGCAGGGCGATATAAGAAGCTATAGAAAACCAGTCATTCTGTTGAGGCGAAGACGGAAGGAAGAAAAGAAACAACGAGGAGTAAGGCTAAGATCAAATTTAAGTTGTCTTGTTTTCAAGCCGCTTAGTGACTAAAACTCTGACAAAATTTTGCTTAGCAAATTAACAGACAGCAAATACAGTAGCTGTTTGGGAATTGAGTTACTGCTAAGCCGGAAAAAAACAAAATTTTAATCACTGCTTTGTGAACAAGAAGGTAACGCATATAATTTTGTGTCTTCGTAAATGATTCTTTATTTCAATCAACAAACCGTCGAGTTTTGTTTTCTTTAAGTCTTAGCAAAACGTTTGTTTGTCGTTACCGCTAATGAGTAAATTTTAATCTCATATTAAAAAACTTCTCTTGTATATTACCCGTCCTGCATCATTTCTGCCTTTTTTCTCTAATTTTTATTTTATTAAATAATTTAGAATGAAGACAACAGTAAAAAACGGTGATGATTGTTTATTGTTGAACTAATTCGACTTTAGGAAATACATGTGGGACTAAATTTTACTAAACTGAGGTTGGCTTCAGAAAGCTAACTGATGTTAAGATGGATGTTGGGGAATGTAAACCATTAGTGATAAATGACCAGACAAAGGATCGTGGGACGCGACTTTTGCGGACACCAAAAGCTGGACATCATCGATTTAATCGATTCAGGAATCGTCTAGTGCAAAAATGTGGCTTCTGCAACATTTCTTTGGTTAATGTGCCGAAACAGAGGCGAAAATATTTTAGGTAATAATTTTTGATGGGTTAAAGTTGACAGCTAAAAGAGCTTACTTTGTTTGTAAGGAAAAAAATGAAAAGCGTATTTGAATTTGTCAGTCTTATTCTTTCACTGTAAAATTTAAGATTTTTTAAAAGTTTGCCTAACCGATCAATCTAGGTTCACTTCTCTTTCCTGTTTTTCAACATTTTAAAATATTTTGTTTTAAAATAAGAACTTAAACGATGTATCAGAGTTTCAAAGTAGAATTAATTTGGATTATTTGAGAGTGTTGAATATACTTTTATCGTTTATTTGAGCTATGCTTTTGTCGTACGTAGCAAATTAAGATGAAGTTATGAGATTTTGCTTGGAAAACGCTCTTTTTATTATTGTTTGACTGAATTGAAAGCTTAAACAACACTAAAAGTAAAATAAAAAGATCATTTTAAAACGTTCAGGTATACTAACTTGTTCCAGCTATACTAAGTAAATTTTAAAATTGGTTGGTGTAGTAAACCCAAAACTGCTTGGCAATAGATTGTCAAACGCTTTGAAACTTTGACCTAAATTGACTTGAAAAAAAAGTATTTTGTGATCTCTCAAGATGCCCGCTGTTGTAGCTTTTGAAAATAAGTCTAAATTGTTAGTCATTATACGTAAAACTA